CCCCCTCCCCAAATTAAAAACCCAAAAATAAAAACCCCTCAATTTTCCCTTTAAAATCAAAAAAAAAATCGAAAACCCAAAAATTCCTCGGCACCCGGTACCCGAGTACATCAGAATCTCGAAAATTAGCCGGAGCATACGACGCAGTTTGATGTTCACCCGTGCGTCGTCGCCGGTCTCCCATTTATCCCCACTCCCTCATCCACTCGCTCTTCACCTTCACCTCTACAATGGCATCCTGCGCTCTCACTCACACACACGAAAGCCCTCGTCTGGACCGAAATTGCCCGAACGTGAGCGACTACATCGAGCTATCGATCGTCCACTGTACCAACGATTCGATTTAAAGGACAGTACGACCTTGGTAACCACACCACCTCATTTCTCCTCCTGGCCCCCTTTGACACCGCCCTCTCCCCCCCTCGTCGGCCCCTCAATCCAACTTGTGTGTCAGAGGTTACATTTTTTTTAATTCACGGTGATAAGACACTGCATTATCATTCTTTCCCGCTGGAACCGACAAAAGCTCCATTTCCGATGTTTACGCGCGATCATTCTCTACGTCAACCTGCGTACGTCCACATCACTGACAATTAATTAAAAAACAATTCTTTAATCGCCGAACACATGGACTTCACCATTCCACATCGACGTCAGCTCGACAAATCGATTGTCAAACGATAAATTCATTCGAAATTCCGTCGCGAAGGCCTTCCGAATTTTTTCCAAACCGCGTCATAAACAAAAACCCCCTTAAGGTGTTTCGCCCGATGAAGGTAACTGCCATTCACCTGGAATTCACGTAGAATGTTTACAACCACAACTGAAATATCTCTGAATTTTCCTAGAATTTTTTCACGTCCCCCTTTCAAGTTATCAACGATTGAAGTCGCTCCTTACACACGGGCTCCTACGGGGATTTTCCCGTTTAGCACGAAACTGCGTTACCATCTGCGCAGATAATGCAGTTTCACGCCGAACATAATCTCCAAGAACCCATGCAAAGCATCATCCACTGCAATCCTCAATAACTTAAAAAAGAGATCAGAAAAAATTCTACGAAAATTCACCGACAATTCAATATGATCATAAACATAACATACAAACTCCCGACGAATGTCATTATTTACCTTTTCCCCGCAAAATCCTTAACGACGATCGATTGAATAAGGGATGAAGTAACACTTCGACTCACATTATTGCGACGATTAAAAATCTGTGCGAACGAGTTTTCTCGGTTGGCCCGGAGCAAGTCCCGCCAACCAACACAGCAGCTAGTCGTGCCAGCTTTGACCTTGGCATTGAACTTGTCCGTAAAGCGGGAGAGAGAAGAGACGCGCAGGCACGAGTGGTTAGAGCCAAAAAGGAGAG